AGACTGTCAAGTTTGGCTGTAGTCAGCATTGAATCAAAACGCACTAAAGCTTTGGATCTTGATCAGTTTGTGAGGCGTTTTGCCGAACAGAATGGTAATCGCTGCATCATAACAGTGATTGACAGCTGATAGGAATAATATGATTGTTAATATTATCATATTAATTCAGACAANTGGTGATTGGCTAATGGTTACACAAGCCAAAAAATTGTTTTGACATCATAAAGTGGCCAAAATCTGATCAGCTTGTTTTCAGACAGGTTTTTATAGAAATGGATCAGGACAAAAAGTGAGCGAATCTTTTTTCCTGAAACTTTCAGAATCTCTTTACACAGAGGGGACACATGTTTATGTATAAAAGACATGAAAAAGTGAATTTTGCATAATAGGTCCCCTTTAATGAACAAAAGTCAATTAGATATTTTTAATTATATCTGATCATACAGTCACAGCATTAACTCATGTCTCTAAAGTTCTGATTATGGACATCAAGTCACTCTTTATTTGCTGTTAAAGTATTTCTTTAATGAAGTGTTCTGTTATTTAGGCTCAAACGATGAATAAAGAGAATTTGGACTTTCTATGAAAAAAAAAAAAACGAAAAATGCTTCGACAGCGAATTCTTTAAATAATACTGCACACTTCAGATGGGGAATGGTTAAGGTGTATACTGTATACCATATGACCGCAAAATGATTCAATTCCGGTTTCAATGGAGACTTTAGATGCATATCATGCCTCCCCATCTCTCCCCGTTTTCTCTCTGACTCTGTACTGGCAGCTTTACAATAAAGACAAAATGTTAAAGAAACCTTATGATTTAGTCTTAAAGAACCACACAGATTACATTTCTTTCTGCAGGTGTTTCTCTCTTTGTGTAATGTTTCCATTGCTGCCAGTTAGACTTTTTTCTAGTTCTTCACATATTTGCCACATCTTTTGCGCCACGTTATTTTTGCAGGTGTTTAACCACAACAAAAAGTAGAACTGAGTAATATTAGCACAGGAAAAATAATGCGTACACACTTCTTCTTCTTACATGTATACATATCCTTAACATTTCAGACCTGTCTAAGAAGACGGTGCACTTCTGATGTGGAAGAAGTGCACCGTTGAACAGCTGATTGGCTTGTCAGGGTTGAAAAGCTGATTGGCTTGTCTCTGTGCCTGCAGAAGAAGCGCTTGGGTGCCCTCAGTAGTCTCTGATTCTTGCAGGATTTCTCCAAGTTTGCGGGCAGTGGCTTCAGAGTCACTTTCAGGTATAATTGTTCTCAATCGAGCCTGAGGAAAACCAAAACATGTGTGATTTTGTTCAAACGATATGTATTAAGACAGTTTTGTAAAAATGTATCTCTGATGCAACAGAAGCACCATTTTTCTCTCTCTGCATTTCGTAAGACATATTTCATATCTTGTTGCCCAACACAGAACATGTTAAGACTTTCCTGTAGCATAGAGAAGTGCCCACTCAGACATTTTGACAACGTCTTATTCAAAGGACTTGTGCAACAGGAACAAGTCAAAGCTGATACTAGATTTCATGAATGTGCTCCCCACCCTTGCTCACCTCTAATGTTGATTCATCTTTTTGTGAAGGGAGGGAGGGAAGGTTGAGATTTGCTTGTTCAGCTATCTGTAGGATCTGCATGAACACAAAGAAGGAGAATTGGACTGCATGAGAAAAGGTTTACATATTTGTATCTAATAAATGAGGCGAAGGAAAAAGGCATGCTGCAAATGTCTGCTTTGTTATATTCTATAGAGTATATCATAAAAACAGATCTCACAGTCATTTCCTGCTAATGCTAAAACTCATTATGTCGGCTTCCACAGAACAGCCACGTTTCAACATGCTGTTCACTTCTGACCGACAGGCTGATGTTAATATGGAGAAATGCGGTTAACCACTTGTTTTTCTCCGTCACCTATTTTACTGAAACAGCCTGATTAATGTTGTATGTTTTTTTTTTTAAATGTCTTTGCACAGCACTTACATTGGAGTTAATAGTGCTATAATACATCATATGTAACACTGTAGGCCAGAAGTTGGATGGATAAAAAGGAAGCTACACCAATAATCTCTCATTTGTTTCAATAACAGCTGAAATGATTTGTGGATTGTCAGAAATAAAGTTGGCAATTATTTGTGATTAATCATTTCAATCATTTTTGAAGCAGAAATATTGAAACAGTATCTGAATGCAGCATCTTATAATCAGAGGTTTCCTGGTTTTCTTTGACACAAAGCATTGTAAACTAATTTTGGGGCCATTTGGCATTTTAGTCAAACAAAACAAGTCGTTTGATTCTGTGAACTATACAATTTCCATGTGTAAGACTAGGGTATTATATATTAATAAAAAGAAAATATCTGCAGATTAATCGATATGAATAAAAATCAGTTGCTACAGCTCCAGTTTCATGCATTCAAATTAAAACAATAAGGAATTATTAGCCGCTTTAAAGGGGACCTATCATGCAAAATGCAATTTTTGATGTCTTTTATACATAAAGATGTGTCCCCGGTGTGTCAGGGACCTCACGCAGCGTCAGAAAATAAAACCCTCTCTTTTCCTCCGTACCCAAATCTCTAAAAACGGGGGTACAACGGAGCTGATCCAGATTTGCGTCCGATATGATGCCATATGGGCAATGCAGACCCACGGCCCTATCAGAAACGTTGCTATCAGAAACAATGCCCGACTGTTTTGGACGTAATATGGTCGGTGTTTACATTAGCATCGCTAACACTCAGAGCTAACCTGTACTGGAGAGCATGTGTGTGAAGAAGCAGGAAATAAAAAGGAACTCACCTTGTGGTATAACCGGCAAGAGAGAAAGCCTTTGAGCTCCATACTGTTTCAGAGATAATCCTTGATAATCCATGATATGGCGTTTCATCACGGCAGTATCTGCCGGTAGAATCTCCCGCATGAGCAGGTGTAAGCTCCGCCCCTCTTTTTTATCAAAACATTTTTTATACCCAAAATCAGCACTTTTGAAACAGGAAGTGAAATAGAGCGATATGAGGCATGGCTAGAATGGGTGATCTGTTTGGTATTTTGAGCAAACCACTTCATAGTCATGTTTTTTATATTTTTTTATATATCTGAGACCTATGCTATTGCCTAAAAATAGCATGATAGGTGACCTTTAAAGAACACAGACTGTAGTTTTTAGTTGGGATTTACAAATGCGTAATTGTTTTGTTGAGATACATGTGACTCTACTTGACAACAGCTAAGTATGTGATGCATAGGATTTATGTTTGTCACAGTAAAAACTGACAGAAATATGATCTGAAACTGAAGCGGTACGGTTTTGGTCAAGTACTCGTACCAGATGTCAGGAGAAGAAGTCAAAGTTTAATCTTTATTTGTGCCTTTTTTGTATCTGTTTATGTTCTCTTTCTCCAACTCAATCAGCTGACTTACAATCTTTCAGCTACATGAATTTGAGACAAGACGATGTCAAATGACCCAAAAGACTCCTCATATTTCCTATTGTGCCCTATTTCAACTAAATTAATGTGATTACTTGTTAAGATTCTTTCCAATCAGTATATGTCCCATAGAAGAACCAACTCAAATCCTTTGAGGAAGACCATGGATTGTGATTGAAATCGCTGTAAAAGGATGGATTTGGATCACG